AGGCCCCTTTTTAATATTTTGAAATGCATAGTTTGGATATTGAAATGCATATTTAACGTGCTAGTGGTGACAATTCATTCTACCGGTATACTATGAGAATAGGCGGTATAAAGCAACCAAATATTTGCGTTTTTCAATCAAAATTGAAGCTGTTTCATTGTTTTGTGTTTTTCCCAAGTTCTGAATATCTAACGAAACCATATACACCCCATACACAACTGGAGGCTGAGTAGTTTTCTTACAATTACTGCGAGCATTGGGAATTAGTAAGATAGACGTCATGATTTCCGTCGAAATTATTCAACAACTACTCTTTTTCTTTGTTTTTTTAAATCGTATTTGATATCATTCAACGGTCTAAAATTCTGGAATAAATTGCACGAAGAAAGAAATCTCTGGCTTTAATATTGGAAGAGTAAGATTGATTTAAAAAAATTATCTTCGAAATTTTTAAAATTCGAGAGATAATGGTAATTCAGAGACAATGAAAATCGAATCAAACATAATACAAGCTATTATCAATTTTGCCTTTATTAACACACAGGGGGCCACACAGCTACAACAAAGTCACAGAAAAAATAGTATTAAAATATTGCAGACTTTAACATTGAATACTCCCTTAATATTTGAACACAAAAAGTGGAACGTCGCTTATAACATATCAGCATTTTCCGAGGGCATAAATTCAACCTAAATAAATATTATGAGAGATGGAAAGCCAGTAGAAAATATGATTTCCTTTATTGTTTAAGATAAATCACAAACAATAAAATTCAATGATGAGGTAGGTATCATGGGTTTGCAAGTTGTGATGATTATGAAGAGGGCGACGCATCGTCACCAAAACTACAGCAACCTTGTCGACGAGAGCCGATGAACGAGAACCCTGCCAGCGGCGACCAGCTGTTCCTTCCCCTTCTTCTTGTTTTTCGACTAGTGCTGCTCCTACCGTCGGAAGTGTCAACTACTCCCAACCGAAAAGAACGAACGCGCAAGATGCTGTCATCTAGTAGTCCTCCCGCGCATTCCGTGTGAGGTAGTTCTTGGGTAGTTTGTGGAGGTGTTATTGTAGCGGTTGCTAAGGAGTTGAAGTTATAAACAAACGATGCACGAAGTTTGATTCGTTTCTATTAGTGCGCACACTTGGGCGATGTTTTGTGCGAAACAAATGCTGGAATAAAACGTTTAAAAAACGTTGATAAACAAACGTTATTTTGAAAATAATTTTCGTTCCGTTTTCCGGACAAGGTTTTGGAAATGGATGAAGAAGACAGCGGCGGTGGCATCATAAAATCTCCTATAAAGCGACTGGGGTCCACAAGAAAGTTGCTGGTGTTTAATAGTAAGTGTTACAGAATTTTCGTAAGTGTGTTTTGAAGGTTAAACCAGACTGCACGCTGTGTTTACATCACGTGTGAGTTGTCGATTGGTGTTTATTTTTGATATTTTGTTTTTCTTTATGTGACACTGTTAATACATTATAACATTTAATAAATATGCAACGTGTATCATTAAAATTTATTTCTGTAATGTTTTGAAGAAATAGGAATTAACGTATGTTTCGTAGCTCGAGGATTTTCATTGTTTATTATTTCTACTTTCCAAACCACAGAGCGGTTTGAATAGTCCTGTTGTCTACAGAAAAGGTGAATTAACTTCCTCTAAACAATGGCATGACAGACTATAGTTCTGACTCGTAATATTTTTACAGGATATAACAAAATTCACAAGAACATCGTGAGCAATTCCGAATGCCCTTAAAAGTATATTTCAAAATGTAGTTTTATTGTAAATAAGAGCAATGACTATTCGCAAAATTGAATAGTCGACGTTGCACAAGAAAAGTGACTCATCAAAAATCCTCAACTTCCAAGAAATGTTTTTAGAGTATGGTACATATTGATAGTACTATTTAATAATAATACATAACTAGAATTCACGAGACCAAAACAGTTTTTGGCTCCCCAGAAATAGAACTATTAACCTGTAAAATGACAATTTTTGGATGTGTCACTTTTCCTGCGCCCGTAACAAGTGAGCACATGTGCGTTTGCGTTCGTCGTCGGGAGGCCTGTCCGCGGCAAGCGACTGCATAGAGGCGCCGGTTATTTTCGCGAAGATGGCTAAATATTTTGGGAGCGAGGAGCAGGTGTTGGCAGCGCGGCCTTCGCGAGAGCGCTGCGCCGCTGTGCCGGCCGGCCGGCGCGGCGCGGTCGTGCAGCTGCCGGTAAACACAAGGGCGTTGGGCGGGCACAGTGCGTGATTCGGAGAAACAGGCTGGACGAAAAATCCCTTCACCCTGTTGGAACACAGATCCTGTCGCATATTTACTAGGAAAAACGTGGTAACCAGAAGCTGAATTACTTGGTAACAAATACTTTTTGGTGTTAATGTTACAATAAATCAATAATTAAAAACTGATAATGAAAAAGTGTTATTATTATTGGGCCTGCAAATTGCTTTTCGTGACCGAAATATTATTTCTTTATGCATATTTGATTTATAGTCAAATTTTATCTAATTAAAAATTCATGTAGCTCCTCACTTCAAATAATTTTGCATTATGGAACTTAGCCATCCTCTAGGTTCCTATGTCCATTTATATGCTAATTGTAGTCTTGTGAAAAAGTATTCGATCCGATTATTCCTTAATGTTATTTTACATTAACATTTCCTAAATAATAATTAGAATATCGATATAATGTCACTTCATGTAAAATAAGTCAATTTTCTAAATCGTTTAAGCCCGCGGGATTTTATTACTTGTATTCTTGTAAGTGTGTAATTGTGGGTATTTTATTAATAATTTGTGCAGTATGCAAAACTGGATTTTCCAGCCACTGCTTTTGCTATTTTTTTAAAATACTTTTTTAGAGTATATAATAGTTCGCTGTCAACTATTCGTTATATCCTATTTTAAACAAATGTAGTGTATTTCTTGAGAACGTGTTTGAAACTTCGTATTTCGAATACTGGGGATCAGTGTGTTCACAATGGAAGTTATGCACGGTGTTTCTTTGCTGATATGCGAAAGAAGAGGCTGTTAATGTTATAAAATGGGAACCCAATAACAGATTAAGGTGAGTTTTCAATGTTATTAATTTCTGAGAGTTCTAAGACATCTTTACCATTAAAGTGCTTTCTTATAAAAGTGAATTGGTAATCATGGGGTGGACAGATTCAAGGTTGTTTATAGTGAACCTGAGGGCTGAAGGCCCGAGCCTCGCCGCGACTTGGATCCGGGCGAGAGAAGCGACAAAATTTGTCACTTCGAAAGAACTTTGGCGTTATGGTACGCCGGGAACAAAGCATATCGAAGACAACACTGTAGCAGAATGAACCGGAAGCGAAGAGACCGAATCTTTCTCGGCGTGACTCGCTCTTGTACGTGAACCTTACCCTAAACTAAGAATTAACCGCTGCTTTTCTCTCTTCCGCTTTCCCCCGCTCTCGCACTGTGCGGCGTGGCGTGGCTCACGTTCTGCCCCGGCCCCCGCCCCCGC